ATTAATACATCATGGGCTGTATCAACCTGAATGTCGTATTTATGCCAAACGGCTGCAGTACAATGTGAATCAGTCTACGTCTTCTGGTGAGATTGACCTACGAATCTCTTCATCAGGTACTTCCATACGAAATGAAAGTCTTCACATTTATTGAGTAGACATGATATCAGGAAAGCCGTGAACTCCCAACAACTCAGAATCATAACCCAATCACATTGTGTTCAGATCGAAAGGAGCTATGAATAAAGAGGGGCTCAATATGCTGACTTAGCATCACAAAAAATTATTTATATTTGATAGTAATCCAGGAGTTTTAAATGATAACTGATGTATAGGGGCTTAACTCAGAATCCAGAAGTATCCAAAATAAGAGCTGTAGTCACTCCATTTTGTTTAATATAATGAGGAACTGATAGGTAATACTTCCCACAATTATGAGAAGGCCTCACGTTACCAATGACATTTCACACAGCCATGTTTCAAAGACGGTATTCTTAGATTTAAGCGCACCCCCGATGGTCTTCGGACCTGGTAAGGGGAGCATATGATCTTACAAAATTAACCAATACGCGACATTGCCGCGAGTGCCCTTGGGTCACAGGTATAAGGTAATGTTCAAAAAGGCCAGGCCTTTGCATTATTACTTTCTGTCGTTGAATTGCCAATGAAGCAATTTTGTATTTGCTATTACGAGCATTTACATTCGTTTCTAAGTAGAATTTTGAGACAAACAGTAAACCTTGAATAAGAACCGTATTCGTCCTATTTCGTTTAAGGCACTCGTCTAGAAAAACCTAATCGAAAACAAAAATAAATAATGTAGTCAAATGCAATAGAGAATAGAACTTTGCTGCATCGACAATAAAATCACAGAGTGATATGGAAAAGGCGTAGTCTTCCTTGAAATGCATCTGCAACTCCAGTAAATGGAATAATATGGGAATATAATCGCAGGCGAGTTCAAGATCAATATTTTTAGGAATTCAGCAAATACTGAAGGTGATTCAGTCCTAAATAACTCCGAATGGCTATATATTTCTTATTTTCTGACTAAGTTAATTACCAAGGATGTTATTTTTCAACAAGGTGCTGAAGCAGATTTTATCTTGTTTATTTTAAGAAAGTGATTTTGCTGATTACATATTTTATGAGGAGTGAGTTTTTATGCTTATAAGAAGAATCAAATCAAAACGATTGTACCTATGTAAACTCTTCAATATATATAAGTGAGGTGAAACGGATAAAATAACCTCATTTCTGAAAACATAGTAAAGAACATAAGTTTAACTAAAGATATGAAGACCAAAATGTTGTGGCCTCTGGTATGGTCGCTTTTATAAGTTTAATTAGTTTACACAAAAACACAGATAATTAGACTCACTAGTTTTTGGCTGTGAAGAATTATTACCAGATTCGATCACCTAAAATGTAGGGAAAATGATTAAAAATAATGCTTTCACAAGGCAGGCTTTCCCTCCAGCCTGTGTATAATGGATATAGAATAGGTATCGAAAAGTATACGATCATAAATGTTATATACTTTCGAGTAAAACAAATCAAGTTGCTGTTCGGGGCGAAATCAAAGTTAATTCAAATTAAATATGTGAGAATAAGGTACTTGCAGACACTTTATTTACTTGTAAGCAAGCCGATGGCTTAAGAATAGAATTTATCCATGTAGTCAGTGGATTAAGGAAAACATAATTCGACTGTAAATATTTCCTATTATGGTATTTTATTCAAAACGTGTAAGTCACTATCACGGCCAATTAAAGGACCAAATGACGCTTTTAATTGTACAGTCGAGAGGTTGTACTATTCCCAGAAAATTATTTAAGAGACGCGTAGAAGGCACTTTTAAAACATTGTGAGCATAATTCGTAAAAACGCAGACGGCGAGGGCTCTTGAGGCAGTTCAGCCAGATGTCGCCATTTCATAAATATTTTGTATTGAGTTAAAATGCAAGTGTATGATCCTTCTAATATTTATCTCCAAATATAGTTCTCCGGGATTAGACCTTAGGCAATCACTATTAGATGTATTCAAAAATGTTAATAAAAACATAGAAATAATATAAAAGGTGCATGAATATATTGAAAATACCTCGGATACAGCATTACAGACATCGTCCTTCCAACATTCGGACTCTTTAATTGTTGAGTGCAGGTGTTCCTTGCTGAGTGTAGCATGTTTGCGGAAAGGTGCCTCAGGTATGCTGTGAGCGAATTTGCTAATTGATGTAAGTAGGTAAAGGAAATAAGCCAAGGTTAAAAATGAATGTTTAGTATAATAAAGGCTAACGTTTTAAATTAAAGCAATAATAAGTTTCTGAGAAAATATGAAGAAAATTTTCGGTTCCTCAGGGCGAAATTCTTTAGCTACGGACTAACTATGATAAATTTCCACACTACTTATTAAGGGCCTTTATCACCATTTAAATGCGCGATAACATGGAAAGTAGAAACAAAGGAAAACGGCATTTCAAAAATCCATACGATAACCTGTCGTCATAAGGAGTAACTAAAGTTAAAGGTATTCACATCAGTTACATAATTTCAGTTCAAATAGTCGATTTGGGAAGGCTGTCACAAGTGGAAGCAGAAAGTGATGCAGGCAATCAGTCTTGAAATAAAAAAGCCGTTTAATAGTAATATGAAGATCAAGATGTTGTGGCTTCTTTTTTAGTCGCAGTCTTCTTTCAATGTAGAGAAGTGGCCTGATCTTATTTTCTCAACTTGGTCGTGCTGTCAGGCCGATATAGTTGGACGCACCTTGTCCGAAGCTCCCAAGATCGGACTGAGGACTTGGTTTATTCCAGGACATTTTGTCGGCAGCTCCAGTGACTATTGCTATTCCTAGCACCAAGCAGAAACTCGTCAAAGAGACAATTGAAGTCAATCATTTGACTAACTTTCTACTGAATGGTTGTGCTGTCACTCATATTTCTGTTCTGCCACATCTACATAAAGTGAGATATGGTAGTAAGTAGGAGTAGATCGGTATAACAGAACAGAAAGAAGTGATGGCGCAATCGTTCGGCAAAGAGTTGTTCAAGGAATCGAGTTCACTTTTCTCTTTGGCAAGTAGTGGCTTGGAGCTAAGACTAGCAAGCTACGATGCCGGCGAAACAGGTGGGAATGTACTAAGTCCATGGTCTCAAATAGGGGATTATCATAACTAAAATAGCAGGGGACTTTGGACAAGGGAGCGAGAGTAGCTAGCCTATACTATATGTAAAAATGAAAAGATTAAGTTTTGGTCAGCAATCTTAAATTCAAAAGTAAATAGAAGAGAAATAAGTGTATCTTCAAATTCGGTACAATCTAACTCCTCTGAAGAATAACTGGGAATAATTAGTGAGGATGGGTAATCCGGATAGGATAGCTATTATTATTTCGTAGGATAGAGATCATGAGAAAAAACCAGTGGCATATAAATATTTTTCATTCATTTGTGGTCCGAAATTTGTTTTCCATTGATGAAATGAGGAGACCTCGATATTATTTAATTTCATTCACCCTTTTTCCTCAAAAGGTTTTTCAATCAAGACTGAGCTGTAGTTTCACATCATCGCCAACATCACAATCAACAGCAGCCATTTTTCAGCCCCACCAAAGGGATTTAAAATTAAGTTGTGCGCATTATGGCGACACGCTGTCACTCTTTTGGAAAGGAAAGATAAGTGGAATTTGATGGCCTAATGATGCATACTCATTTCAATTGGAAAATTTTCGCCAAAGTCCTTAAATCACTTTAAAAGACTTAGAATGAATAAAATTCTGTTTTCCTATTATGCAGAATCGTCTGCTAGTCTGGGAAATAAATATAATATGTAAGTCTGGCCATGCCAATAACGCTTTAGCCCATCTGCTCACCAAGCCAGATTACATGAATAAGCCTAAAAACGTCATTTAATCAATCTAGTAAAGCCACTAAAAGACAATGTAATGTCAATATTACACCAAACAGGCTCGTAGCGCTTGTGAAACAAATATTTTTATTTAATGTAAAGCCTAGTGCTAAGGTTGTTACGGTAAAACCCTAATAAACTCATGTACTAAACTCTCCCTCAGTGTGTGCAACCTAGGGCGATTAGAGCTCAAAAAGAAAGAAAAATTTCTAGATCATCAGTGAATGGACTGCCGATTCAATTAATTTATACAACGCTGAGTTCTCCAGAGCGCAGTGTAAAATGCGAACTTGCCGTAGCAAAATATGTCCAGACGTTAGTAGTGGCTTATTTTTATTCATAACTGTGTTTTATGAGTAGAAAATAGTTCACTTTGAGTTATCCTAAAGGTTAAATGGTCCAAATCGCTGAAGATGATCAAAGTGAGAAGACTGGTAAACGTGACGGAGCATGCTGCCACTGGTGAACATAATTATACTGAATTAGAGATACACTTAGGATAATGCATGAAGTGCTTGACTGAGTAGAATGATGTTTCAAATAAGAATAGCGAATAACTGGGCCGTAATTTAAATGTAAATTAAAAGGGTCCACTTCGCCTAGAATTCTATAGGCGCGTAGTGATTCAATAGAACTTGGACTGATTGGTGAAGTGTAAAAGCTATCCATATTGAATAGGTTTCAATACGAGTATTGGTAAAATGTAGAATAGTAGCGCCATTGGGGTTTTTAAATAACTAAGCCTGTTCGAGAATGCATCGTGGAAAAAACCTCTTGAGAAGCAAATAAATTTAAAATTAAATAGTATAGTAATGGTTATTCCTCATGCAATATTAGCCAATTTGATTGTAGGGCGTTAGAAAGCTAAGGAGACCTTGAGTAGCTATTTCAAAATGGCTTATTTTTAACTGATTCTCCACCCATGAGCCCATCGTCCTCTGCTAACCACATATCCTTATCCCAAAGTGATATGAGTAAAAACAATAAACATAAGACAAAATTCAAGCACAACAGTACCAAACAAAGTTTATTGTGTTGGTTTGCATCATCAATGATGCGGGGTAAAATCAGGAACATATAGACTGATATTTATTGATCTGACCTGTCTGCCCTGGAGGGATGGCGACGCAGTATCCAGCTGGGACTAAAGCAATCATCGGGGGATGGTGCTTTTTTGTTGTGAGGAAGAGAAGGTGTGGATGCTCCAGAAGTCAGACTGGTGGATGAAGCTTCTTCAGCAAGCTCCGAGAGACGGGAACTTAGGACGGGCACATCTTGATCACTATTCAATAAATGAATGTCTTCCCCTGCCACTGACATACATGCTACAGAAGGCGGGGTAGTAGCATAGAAATCGTTCTGAGATGAAGAGTGAGCTGATGTAACCAGAGGCGACCAAAAGTTAGGCTCAGAAAAGCGTAGCTATTAAGAGTAAAAGCAATCCGGACAAAAACAGGGGGTAAATTACGGTTACTTGCTTAATCATATTTTTTCTACTCATTTGAGATGCATGGCAATATAAATAAAATGTATATTATCAAGTCAAGAAGTTGAGAGGAGAATGCCTTTAGGTGTGGCATTAAATATCAGGAAATTGATTAAAATCGCTAAAATGCAGCGTTATGTGAAAAATACGTTTAAACCAAAAGCTTCAGGCTTTAGAAC